AATGCAGATTATTTAGTAGTCTCTCAGGTGCTGGCAGTCCACTTTAATATTGATGTATTGGGGGAATTAGTTTTTTAATGTGTAATTCTTTAGGGAATATGCCATATTTTATCGAGGAGCTATTTACAAGAAAAAAGGTACTGTCTATCCCTGCAGAGACGCTCCCTGTCACTTTCCTGCTAGATTCTGCTGTTTGGTGTGAAGAAGAGAATGCCTAGACTCCCCTCAAATCTTCATAGAGAGATTTGCAAGTTGTTCTAAAGACCATCTTTGGTTTCCTAAGAAGTTGGCATCTGAAATAGAACTTGGAATGCTGTTCTCAAATACGGCTAAACAGAGGAAGGAGTATATTGTTCACAGGCATAGATGGGGAGATAGCACTAACATTTGAGTCATTAAAAAAAATTAATTATACCATGAGTGATTTTTATGTAACTATATGAGCATATTCAATACAACTTTAGCAGTTACAAAAATACAGGCCAGGCCCTGGAAAACCTAATTAGGTGAGAGTGTAAGTATGCATGAGCATGTGCTTGAGTGTTGTGGTGTGTTTTTTTTCTCCTGTTAATTTTCACAGTACCGGAATGGAATAACACATAGCATCCACAGGAGAAATTTTTGTTGTCGTCGTCTTTCTAAATCTACCTATCACTGCTTTTTTAGTGCTTTACCTAGCCGACCTCTGACGAGATAATCATCATACAATGTTAAGAGGCTGACTGATACTGAAAAAGCTACATGCATTATTTGTTTTCCCCAAGTGTTTTTATCTTGCTGAATTTCCAAAGATAGTTCTCACAAAATTACAGCCAGAAGTATCATTCAGGTTTGTAAGGATCCAGTTTCCTAACAAAAGCAATCTACATTTTATTGAATTTCACAGTCTAGTAACCACCAAATCTTTGCCACTCTATTCAACTACACAAGAAACACTATCAGCAAAACAGGAAGTTGGACGTTGTGAAAGCAGTGCAGTTGTTACGGTTATCTTTCAACATGGGAGTGGTGTATATGGACACTGAAAATTAGTATTCTGGGATAGGGAAAACTTTTTTAAATTTTAGTTGCATTGTAGGTTTTATGACATACAGTGCAGGTTTGGGGAGGTGAGAGCAAGGAATTGCTCTAATCATAGTGTGTGAAGATAATTATGAGAATATACTGAACCAGAAAACGCTTCTGCTTCTCAGGATTATCTGCATTGTTCTATGAATGTTCTCCCATATGCCAGTTTCACTTTAACAAAAGCTCCTGTTCACAGTTTTTACCAAAACTTACTCGTGTTTTGCAAAGTGGGCCTATTAAACAGTTAATTCAGTGCAGCAGTGGAAGATGGGTGAAACCAGAAAACAGACTTCCAGTCCTGTAAAGCTACTTCTGAGTATTAGCGAGTGTTTGGGGAGAATACTTTATACAGTATCGTTAGCTGAAATTGCTTTCAGGAGAGACTTGGAGAGAACTTGACAAACTCAGAAACATTTTGGTATTTTAGAACTTTTAAACTGCCTAGGAGGGGGGGAAAGGCATTAAGAGAGGATACCGCGGATCATTGGTATCGTCTTTGTTATCGTTGCACTGAATGACTTCCTTTTGTCACATCATATTGGCCAGAGGTTTTTCAAGTGCCCGGTTCAAAGCAAACGCTCCCATGAGAGGACATCTGCAAAAGCCAACACTGAATGTGAGAGAGAAGAGAGAATGCATCACTGTTACTTGCTGATGTTCAGGCAGTTGGTAGAATCTGCTTGTTCTTGCTTTGTCAACGGTCTAGATTTCTGAACGAAACCAGCCCGATCTCTGTGTGGTCTGCTTAAGTACAGTCACTGCTGGCTATGCTGTGCTGAAAAAGGCGGGGAAGAGACTGTAGTCTTTTGGCTATATGCATCTTCCAGTTAGTTCTCTGGGTCCTGTCGGTGAACAAATTACTGATAAACTGATTAGAGGCATAAAGGAGGGTTAGCCATGTGTATTGGGCAGAGACCTATTGAGTAGAAGGTAAAAGAAAAGGCGTTTCTGGTGTATACGATAGGAATTTTAAATCTGCGTAGCAGAAGCTATGAAAGCTTTAGGGGTTTTAGGGGTTTAATCTAAAACCACAACTTTATTTTTTTTTAATACGTATATATCTTCATCAGTACATTATCATGGGATATCCTTAAGTAAATGGAGAGAATGCACAGTCAGTAACAATAGAAATATCTTGGGTATAGCTGTCTCCATAAGAATGAGCAACAATGCTGTGTCTATTGGAAAAACTCGTCTTGCCATGCCTCCTTTTTATATCAAGTCTTTCCATCACTGAGTTGTCATGCATAAATTTCATTATATTGCAGATCTGTTTAGCATAGTTGTTCCAATAAAGGTGATATCTGAATTGGACTCACCATAAAAATGTGATGGATTTACTTTACCAATAGTTTGCAGTAGGTGAAGGCCTCTTAGATAAATGTGTGCGTGTTTTGTTGGCTTTTTGAGCATGGTTCTGTTAAGAAGGCTGATATGGCCAGACAACATAAGAGCGTTGAAAGCCAGGTGAAAATTTTGTGAGTACCTTCTGAAGAAGTGACTGCTGAAAAGAAAGAGCAGAGGTGCATAGGATAGGGAGCATGGAGTTGAAATCTATTGGAAGGCAGGCGAAGTCTGACTTAAATGATTCAATATCTGGCAATATAGTGGAAGCCATTAATTAGTTGTAATAACTTTGTATTTGCCTGAGCTCATGAAGAGGAAGAAACTGGGTTATGATTATGCATTGAAAACAATCATGCAGATCACGTCACCCCGCTTCCAGAAAGGATGGTATGCTGTTTGTTTCCAGGTGAAAAATATTTCAGACAACCAAATATGAAAGTGTCATGAATCTTAACTGCTTATTTCAGTCTCCTTTTACAGGCAGATGGATCCTTGGAAAAAAAAATAGCTGTAAGTTGGCAGCAGAAAGCTCAACTCTCTGAAGCAGAAAGCTTGACTGTGTGGGTTTTTTGAATATCTGCGATTCTGTCTCCAAGCACAGTCAGGAAAGCTAAGGGACGGATGCCAGCAACTTTTTATCCTAGAAGGGCAGGGGCTGGGGGGCTGGGAGAACCCAAAAAAGTGTGTGGGATGTTGTAGATTTTTTTTCTTTTTCCTTGAACTGCATGATACAGAAATGAGGACTGTTAGAGCCCGGAAAGGGCTCACCTTCTAAACTGAACAAAGCAATGCAACCAGATGTTCACAAGTATTTTGAAAATGGCCGTTGCAGTCATTTTCATGCCTTGCAAATAACTGAAGGTCTGAAATGGCTACATTGAAGTGGATTTTTTCCAAGCATGTCAAACCCAAGGAGCGTTTGCAGGGGTGCTGTGACGAAGCAGTGGGTGCCGCTGTACAAGAGCTGCTTGTGAGATAGCTTTGGGTTATAAAGGACAATTCATTAATTATATAGGGACAAATCTTTTGGGAAAGAAGCATGGTAGAAGGCTTGGGGGTGACCTGAAGAAAAGAAATGCAGAAGTCGTCAGTCAGCTGAGAGGGAACTGACAATGTATATTTGTGATAAACAACATATCATTCGGTTTGTGATTGAAACTTGACATTTTCTTTAGTCAAGTAGTTGAAGTGTGATGATGCAGACACATAAGAGAACTGAACATCTTTTCCATATAAAGTAGACTCGCATAGGTAGAAAGATGGGTTTAATTTTTAATATAGCTTAAACACTTGAAAGACTTAAAAGCTTTGGAGGCCATTTGCTTGAAAACTGTTGAAGAACACTTGGAAGCATATACATCAACAGCTGTAGGTCTGACTGTCTAGGGCAGTAGAATTTGAGATACCAGAGGGCAACTGCAAAAAGGTGGAAAGAGAGTTGCTGGTCTTTTGTTACAAAAGATTAGGACTGTTCTCTGAAAAGGAGTAAGATACCCGCTAGGTACGTATCTGACCTTTTCAACAAGCAAATAAGCCAAGATGACTTCTTACACACTTGCTGCTAATGGTGGAATTTCTTTTGCTCAGAATCCTTCTGTTACCTCAAGAAATTATAGACTGTTATCCTTACTGCTGTTTTAGTTTAAAAATATATACTTGGATGGCTAAAAATATTGCTGCTTCAAAGCAAAGAAGGGATGCATCAGTTTTCATGCTTTCTTAATTCACACCTTCCCTGGTACTCCTGATGTACCCATCAAACTTTGCCTTCAGAGGGAGTTTGGTTTTAGTCAAGTGAGCAGATTTATGTGACAGTCAACCTTGGGGTGCTTCTAATGAAACTGCATGTCCCAGAAGGCTGCGAAGACAGTGGGGATGAGTGAATCCTGTCTGAAAGGGAAATACAAGATGTAAATTGGAGCCTCAAGGTTACAGTACCAGCATAAATATAGCTACAAAGCAGCGTAATAGATTCCTTTCACACAGTGACTGAAGTTCTGACAGGCATAAAGTCTGTTTTTCTTCATTCCCGTTTATATATCTTGGGATATTTTTAAGGGATGATGCTTCTGTGATTTATTTAATTTTCTTTGGAAGTTCAGTTGCATAAACCTGAGGCCTGAGTAGGACTTCATGCAGATGTGCCGTTGACACTGGAAACACCGTATAATTGACTTTCAAAATAGAGGCCCCTGGAGTGAGGGACAGTGACTTAAGGGAATGTAGGACATTATGCTCACGCAAACAGCTAAGTCAGTGTGTTCTAAGCATTTTGGATATAAAAATAGTTGCCCAAGAAAAGTTGTCCTTCTGAGGAACTTGGCTCTTAGGAGGGCCTTTTAAAGCTGTCTCTGCCATTGTGCTAGTGACGGTGACAGGCATCTGAAAACCAGGAGCTGCATGAATTACCCTGATGGGGGATCATGCTGCCACCGTGGGAATCTATTTGGTGATCACTGATCTTTGTATTTGCAAACAGAAAGAATCGTATTTTAAAGATACAGTAGTAGTTTAACTTGTGCTGGTCATTTGCTCAAAAACATGACTTTTCTTAAAGTAAAGGTACTTAACTCAAACGACTTCAGATACACACAGAATGGGATTTTACACATGTTGGACAGAAATAAGAGAATCAAGCCACGACCAGAAAGATTCCAGAACTGCAAAGATGTTTTTGACTTGATCCTAACGTGTGAAGAAAGAGTCTATGATCAAGTAGTAGAAGGTAAGGACCTTGAACTGATAAACCAAGTTAACTTTGAGTGCTTTTTTCCCCCTCTACCCTGAAGTACCTCACAAATCTGGAAACATCTCTGTCTCCTCTGGCTACTGCTGCTGGGACACCAGTGGAGACAAGAGCTTGCAGTTCATTGATGTAGACTTCAGTGACCGCTGAATACCTATTTCTAAAAGATGCTAGTGTTGGCAGCTACACAGGATGTGTATGTATAGCAGTTTTGAGGGCTGACATGAGGAAATAGCAAGCATTTGAGGAAACTCAAATACATACTTGGTTTGAAAATGCTCATGGAGCTAGAAAACCAGCAAGTTGTGTGTGATGAGCATTTTTTCACCCTGGGTTGATGGAGAAACAAAATCTAAGTTGTCTTCGTTATGTAACTTCCATTCTCTGCGGAAGACTTCCTGTGACCTACCAAGCAGTTTATCCGCAATAAATACCTGTACAGGTGGAGAAATTGTTCTTGAGCGTGGTTAACACACTGCAGATATGCTATGGCTTTGCCCTTATATGAGTCTATGCCAGAAGAATCTCTGGGGGGGATTGGGTTCTGCATGAATACGATGCAGCAAGCTTGATGTGAACTCGCTGAAAGTCATGGGGTTTCAGCCATGACTCCATTAGCGCCTGGGCTGAGAACCCTGCCTCTGCCTGGAAATGCTGAACACGGGCTTGTGTGAGGTTTAAGGTGTTGCCTTTACATTGAAAGACCAGCCAACTGTATTGGTATCATACACATAATTTAAAAGGCTGTTGCCTTGCCTTTTCACTCCTCGGTGGTCATGTGGTCCAGCAATACAGAGCACGACACATTTGGGCTTCTGCAAGCTGAGAACTAGTGTTCTGAATGTTTAAGTGAAGTGTTTTAAATGTATTCATAAATTCTGAGAGCAGCTGCCTTGGTACTTGAATGGATCTTCAGCAAGCTCAGCATTTTTTACATAGAAAGCAGCTTTCACTTTGCTTTAGGTGAGTACCCTGAGAAAGGGAGGTAGCAAGCAACCACTTGCTAATTTTCCAATGGCACATCTCTCTGACTTCATGCTGATGCCCTTCATAATTGACCAATGAAAGGAAGAAGGCTTGAGTGCTACCAAATGGCTCTAGATGTGAAAGCTGACCCTTTAAAATGGAGGCCTCAACAGGCCATTTGACAAAATGGAGTTGCAGAATGGGCTTAGGAAAGAATAACCTGTAGCTTAAAAACCGTGTGTAATAGGAAGGTTATGTTAGGCATAACGATAATACACGGGTGGATTAGTTGGAAAAGGATGTCTTATTTTTTTCTCCATTCACCTCTTGTTAATAAACAGAACACATTAAAGCTAGAATTTTCTAATGTGACTATCAGTACTTAACTTGTAGGAGTTCACCTTACACTTCAATTTTCAGAGTGTTGGATGTTCAGTGCTTTTTAAAAAAATGGGCAATTTAAACTCTCCAGGGGAGGAAGCGCAAAATCACTCTTGACTTTAGGGAGTCTTGATCTTGGTATTTAAAGACTGTCAGAGTAAGGTGAGCAGTAACTTTCCTTGACCAGGTCAAATAAACTGTCCTGACCCTTCCACAAAACTGAATTCTTGTGTTTCCAAAATCCATCTCATTTTTGAAGAGGAACTATTGTTTAAGACAGTGTTAAATAAACACTTCTCTAAAAACAAGCTTGGCGAAGGTAGAGATGGACAAAGTCTGTGTATTTTTAAAAAATCTTATGAATACTCTGTGTAAAATATGATACCATTCCACCCAAAGTTTTGTTGCTACGTGTGTTTTGTTTTCAACTAGATTTAAATTCCAGAGAGCAGGAGACATGTCAGCCAGTACATGTGATCAATGTGGACATTCAGGATAACCATGAGGAGGCAACCCTCGGTGCTTTCCTTATCTGTGAGCTCTGCCAATGTGTAAGTAGAGAAGGCTCGTTGCCTGTGGGTACCTTGGACCCAGCTGACTGCACTGGGGTTGGGGTTTGCTTAGCACTTCATAAAGGTGCTGCGTATTGCGAAAGTTGTTTAAGTAAAATTCTTGTCAAGAGACAGCAGTTTCCAAATTCTCATTATTTGTGGAGCTGTTGTGCAAACAGATGCATTGTAACTGAGTTCATGGTTTCCGAAGTGGACTCTCTGCATGTGTTCAGAACCGATGCATTGATAGCTTGCACGAAAAGCAGTATTGCAAAGCACTGCGCATAACCATTACACTTGTTGAGCCCATACTCAAAACACTCTTTATGGCAAGAATGTCCATTTCCAAAGCAGCTGTAATACGTGGGATTTAAACATCAGAGTTGCATTCTGAGTCGTGATATACTTGAAAAAATCCTACGTATTTCATAGTACCACCCTGTTGTGCGTACGATAGAGAAAACTGTTGCCTTCTGTCATCCATATTCAGGGGCTCCAGCTCTTGAAGTAAGACTGAAGTAAGCTGCACTCGAAGCAGTCAGTGTAACTGTCAAGAGAACAGAGAAAAAAGGATTTGTGTCCATTTACAGCGTGCAAGTTGATGAGTTCACCTACTCCAGTGTGGCAACAGGCTTTTTTTTTTTTTTTTTCCTTCAGCCTGTGTGATCTCTTCTGGTGTTAAATCCTTTCCAGATTCAAAAAGCCTGAGAGGGTTCAAGGACTTGAAACTTTAGCCATCTGTTCAGTGTGCTTGGAGCTATTCTGAAGCTTCCATTTGTTATCTAGTGAGGATAGATGTTGCTTACTCGACAAAGTACTAGTTAAGTGCCAGTTCAGTGGGTTGGAGAAGGAAGGATGTGCAGATAAATGGGATGCGGAATATATGTATTTGGGAACGCTGGGAATCTCAACAAAGCACCCAGTGCTGCAGTATTTGTACAACCTGCTGGTTCAGATTTCACAGTAAGCCAAAAGCATTGAATTATTACAGTTTTCTAAACTACATTGCATCCTTGGAGCCGGGTTGCTTAGTATTTTTTCTCTTCTAGATACAGCACACAGAAGACATGGAAAATGAAATAGATGAGCTGTTACAGGAATTTGAAGAGAAAAGTGGAAGGACTTTTCTTCATACTGTCTGCTTTTATTAAAGCACATCTGTCTCTTAGGCCTTAATGCAGATGAGGAAAGCATGTGTTTAAAGTTCTGATTATACTGTATTTTCCTGGAAAATGAATATTGGGTTTTTTTGTTGTTGTTGTTTAAAAACTCCTTTTCAGTGTCTTTTTTGTTTTTTGTTTTCTTTCAGGTATTCTGTCACAGGTAGGCAGAGATACTGGTTGGGGTTGTACATATGAGATGATTAAAAGTATACACAAAGGCCACCTATTTAAAAATGAAAATCAAGATTTTCTTTAAATCCTACTTTAATTATTACAAGTAGGTTTTTAATTATAAAGAGACTGTTTCTTGAATATAAGTTTATAATGTATTTTTCCAGCTTACAAATTTATTTTATTTCAGTTGTGCTTTTTTTTTATTTTAATGTGACAGAATGGCTGAACTATGTGAGGATATGAATGGAACAATGAAAAAACGAGTATCTGTATATTATTAGAGATAAAGTTGGAAGCATCCAATAAAAATTAAAAACCTGGAAGTTCGTCTGTTTCCAAAATAGAAGTTAAGTAAGTGTGGCTGCTCTGGGAGGTAAACCACAAAGTATCTGAAGTAACACAAGAATGCTCATTCATCCAGAGGGTCTTGGAGAGGGTAGTGACAGCAAGATCTTGGTAGGAATCGAAAGACCTGTCCCTTGTTCAGAGAGGCTGTGTGTTTGGGCAGCTCATAATGATTTTTGATCTTCTGTTGAACTAAAATGAACTTCTTTCTCTGCCTGAATTAGGCCACTGCCAGGAAATCTTTTGGGGTCTCAATTGCTTTTGAATTACCATGTGTGAGATTAATAAGACACTGAGGCTCTAACCGTAGCAGTCAGGGCCAGTTGTATGTATGTCTTCTATAAGGAGGATGGGGAGGAATGGCAAACTCCACCGTTGATGGAAATAGTTGAAAGTTTGGGGTTTTTTTAACCGAAATATCTTTTGAACAGAAGCATTCTACTCCCATACAGCAATAATAAACATGCTTGTCACAGTTCAAAATCCAGAAATTGCGTATGTGTATGCAAAGAGAGCAAAAGCTCAGACTTCTCTTTGTTCAAACTGATACAAGTGAAAACACTGCAAATTATTAGACATTCAAAATGTGAGTGGTAAAGTGCTGCTGCTTAGAAGGCAAGACAAGATCTTAGAAGTTATTTTGTTAAAGGAACCTGCAAACGATTTGGAGGAAATGAGGTGTGTGTGCTCTTTCATACTTGGGTATGTGAGGACAACTTTTCAAACGTTGTGTTAAAGTGAAGTAGCATGAAATGGAGTTTGAGCTTCCTGGCTTAACCTCTCTCTCATTCTGTTACTGACTTCTGACAGCTCATGTGAATCACCTGATTTTCTTTAACTTTAATCATTTTGCACATGCAGGAAGTTAGTGCTAAGTACTTTTTAGGGCAATGTTACCCATCCGTGCAGACGACTTTGGCTGTGTATGTAGTAAGTCATACGGCAATGCTACTTAGCCTCTTTCAGTGAACATGCTCAGATATATTAAGGGGCATCTCCAGTTGCAAATCTTGAAGTCTGTTGAGTCAGGCCCCCAAAAAAATCTTGTACCTCTCACTACTCCTGGAATCTGGGAGTTGGCTGTGGTTTCAACCGCCTTGTGGGAAAACTTAGACCTCTGCCACTTCAATATGTGTACTGGACAGTGTCAGAATGGGTCGTTGCACCATACTTGGGTCCCAGGAATGTTTAATATCCCTGAATTACCTGTGCTGTTTTTTCTTGTCTGTTAAAAATACTTAACGACTTTGTGGAGAATGAATGAATAGATCACAACAATTAGGGGATGGGGAGTTCAAGCAGCGGCTGTGATAAGGTTTGCAGATTGTATGTTTTCTGAGTGGCTTGTTCTGTCCCATTTTGTTTCTGGAGACTGTATTTGAAGGATTTTATTCAGCCGCCTCTGATTCTGCTCATTTGTCTGTCTGATACCATCGCTTGTTACCATGGGGATATTTACAGCCAAAGGAAAAAGATGGTTCTGTAAGGACTGAACTGCTTTAGTTGATCTCTAAAAAGACATTTCAAACAAGCATGGTACTGATTCTTTTGAGCAGAGTTTTCCTTCCCTCTACAGTATCAATACTGAAGTCTGCTCTGTGGCAAGGTGAAACTTGGAGAGTGTTTGAAAATGTTTTGTACTTTCAACTTAATTCATCCTAAACAGAGCTCTTTGTTGTTATTTCACAGAAGGCACAAAAAACTTAAACAGGATGTTTTAACCTGTGTTTTGTGTGTTAAATGGAGATTTACAGAAGTGTCCTTTCTGTTATGTAAAGATTCTTCCCATGTGTGTAATTGGCAGAGAATTCTGGTTGCTGTAGTGCTAAGTACGGATTAATTAGAGGAACTCCAATTCACTGCATCTCTTCAACTAAAATGAGAAGCCCTGGTCTAAAAACATGATACAGTATACAGGATGTTACAGATTGTTCTTTCCATCCTAAATGTTCTGTTCATAAGCAAAAGCAACACTGGGAGCTGGTCATTTGTTTATTTACCGGTGTGCGGAAGGATGCTTGCGTAGATGGATGACTGACCTGGATAGGCAGGCAAGTATTCTGAGTGATCTACAGTCCGGTTCAAAGCATTTCAGATTTCTGTGAGGGAAACTTGTTCTTCAGCTAAAACTGTTCTTGCTCTGACACATTTCTTCTCATTTAACTTACAGGTTAATGAAAATGTATGCATATGCATAGTTACTTTGTCTCCATGTGCTTCATTTCACTGAAATCCACAATGAAGCTCAATTTATACAGGGATTTTATGAGGTTCTAGTCTTGTTTGAGAAATACATATATTTATACACACACACTAAAATATATAGGTAGGTGTAAAGGAAACTCTGGCTAAACACATGGTCAAAGTTATTTTCTGTGTCAAAGAAATTTCAAGGGAAACATTGGTTTAAAAGACATCAGAAAACTAATGTATTTTTCCTTTAAGAGTGGGATGGCATATATATGATGATGGTGTGCTCTTCCCTGCCTGGTAGATATATTGATACTCCTGTTGACGACTATCAGTGCTGAAAGAGGGTCCATTTCTTTTTAAGTCCTGTAGTTGGCAGCCTTCCTGTTTAATGAAGAAAAGCGATGTTCACCTTGTGAACACAGACTGCGAGTATTCAGAATTTGGCTGTGATGGGAGATTTCTGCTGTAAGTGAGAGTTTTCGGCTATCTAGGCTGTTCTCACAGTTGCCATAAGGCCAGCAGAGGTGGCTTGAAAATGCGGGTTCCTCCCAGAGGTTGCTCCCCCTTTCTAAACGTGGTGACTGTTTTGTCAGCATTTCTCACTTTTTTGACTTTCTACAGAAGGCCATATTGATTAAAGAATAGTATCTGTTGAAGCATAAGATTTTTGCTCTCTTGCTGCCATGAAGTTGATGCTACCTCCCATGGGGGCAGATATTTGCCAAGAACTTCCTGAGGTTTCCATCTCACAACCCAGCCCTCTGCGGATCCTGTCCATAAGGCACAGAGCAGTAGTGTTCACTTCTAGTTTGCGGTCTTTTTCTTTCACACAAGTCACTTGTGATTTCGTGTCAGTTTTTTGTGTTTCTTGTCTTGCTTAAGACTTTTGTAACATTCATGAACATTCTTCTTTCTGTCAGAGACATCAGCACATCTTTCAAATAGGTGTATGTAAATAAAACTGGTGATTAAAGAGCGATGCCTTTTCTCCCCTCTGCACTGCTGGCAGATAAGATAACTTCTTATCCTTGAAGTTCTGTGCTCGTTGGCTTCCTTTGCTTGCCTGTAAGGCTCAGTGCACTCAGATAATGCAATCGGACTGCATATGGTGGAAAAGAGCATTCTTCCCCAGGTTTCAATATTGCTGGATCTGACTGCGCAAAGATCAATGATCCTAGCTAGATTTCCCTGATGTGGCAGCAATTTGTTGCTAGGCAGATTGTCCGGCTTCAACTTTCATTTTTCATACATGTAGGAGCTTGGGAGAAGGTATCAATAAAGACAAACACAAGTGCCTGTACCAGTACAGGAACTGTGAAAAGACCAGAGGAATGAAAAACAGTCAGTGGAGTACGGGGAGGGTATATGACAGCTGAGCGCGTTCTTATGCAGGAGAAAAAAATTGAAAAGGAGAGAAATGCTAGCTGTAGTTGTTGTTAGACTCTTCTATAAATTCTGGCTAGTGTGAGCGCGGCAGAATGGTAGCTGAGGTCTGTGCTCCCTTAAAGAAGAAAGGAGAGGGAGTCAGTTCCTGTGAAGGCGGCTTATGATAATATTCCTACCTGGTGCTGGGAACTAAAGGAGCTGGGTGACAGTGCCGGCTCATGCAGCAGGGCTGGGTTAAAAGAAGGGAAAAGGCAGTGGTCACTCGATCAGGGATAGGCCAAATGCCACTGAGGTCTTGTGATGCAGACTGGGGACTTGACTGCATGAGAATGGTGGTGACAGTACGACATGAATCTTGGAGCTGAATAGGAGCCATAGATGTGGATGTGTGGATACTTGCTTTCAAAAAGGAGCAGCTTGCTTCTAGCAATATTAAAGTGATTAGGAGCAAGTTTAACAAATCTGTTGTAAACTGTTGTGGTGGCAACCTGAAATTGTCTAAGCATCTGTTAGCCCCTACATTGAAAAGACAGTCTTCACTCGTAAAAGTATGATGTCACTTTGCTCAAATACAGTCAGTCCCCGATGCCTCTTTTCATTAGATGGAAGTCCCTAGAAAACTCTTCTCGGCCTTGTTTCCCTTAGACACGCAGCTGAAAGGCCGGACTGGCTGAACACCGTGCATGGCCTCAGGTTGTCCTTGGGTCTCCAGCTGCTGAGGCTGGGAGCAGCCAAGAGTTCAGCTGCTAGCACTGACCGGGACACAAGTGCTGCTGCTGCTTTGTTTCTGCAGAGCAGGTCGGCTATTTATGCGGGTGCAGGTTCGCCTCCAGCCCCATCCCTGCCGCAGCTGAGCCGAACTCGTCGTTTCCCCCACAGGCTGCTGTGAAGAGCTGCTGCTTGAAAAGCACAGTAAGTGTCTGTACCAGGGCTAAGGAGCGAAGCTAGATGTCGTGGGGTCAGGAGGATGGGAGAAGACAAGCTTTACAGGGTCCAGCCAACTCGATATGTTAAGAACGGGCCAGCAAGAGCAATGAGGAAACCCGTTTGACTGGCACGCTGCGGCGTGGCAGGTGCCGCTCGGCACTCCTGCCGACTGAAGCAGGATGAAGGGGAGAGAGCAGGAATTTCTAATATAATTCAGTGCCACGGAAGACCATTGACGGAAATGTTCGGCGTGGCAACTGGATTTCGTAAAGGCTGTGATGATTTCATGGCTGCTATCCACACTTGCAGCCCTGTGAGCCTGTCGCATTTAGCGAATCCTCTACTCCGGGCAGTGCCAGTGGGTGCACGAAAGGACCCTTGTACCACCCTGCACATGAGCACCATTTCGCCCAGGACTAGGCTGAGGTTTGTTGGCTGTCAGGCAGCTGGCTATCCT